GTAGTCTTTATTATACTTTTGCTATCCATCCTGTTTTCCTTTCGATTAATTTTTGACCTATATTAATTTTAGTGAGTTGATGGTGAAGTTAACAATAAATTTGAGTTAAGAATTAACTGAATGGACGACAAAATTGACATCAGTTCTCCACTCCCAACTGGCAACAGAAGTACGAATTCACAATAACTAATCCTGAATTTGAAATGCTATGGGCCTGTCATATTAAGGTAATTCTCTGGTTTTAACTTTTATTATCGATGTCTTTTAAATTTTTCTGAATAATAAGCATTTGGGCATATCGTGTGAAGGCATTTTTCTCCATATCTTGCGGCGTAATGAAGAAATTCACAAATAATAGAGCAAATGCGTTAAGGCTATGAATGGAATAACAGTATATTGCATTTGTTTTTATGGCTTCTTGCCTTAGTTTGTGTTACAGCGGTAGCACCACTTGATAAGATTTCTATAAGAATTGTTTTTGTCGAAGTGGTTTAGGGTGTTTAAAAATTGCTGCTTCTTTTGTGATACAGATTAATGAAAAACACATATATTTGGCAGTGGATGTTGCAGCCTGCAATCCGAACTAGGGATGGATGTTAAGGGCTAGGGTCCCCACCCTTTGTTGCGATCATTATTGAACTTGTGTCGCTCAGGGCATAAGGGGCTTTATAACTCGGGCTTTGATTTTGAGATTTCTCATGTGGCTGATAGTGGAAGGAAAATCATTAAGCCAGTAGGAATTTGATGCCTGGAAAATCGGCACAAGTTCAAGCTTTTATCGACCTCGAGAATGGGAGTATGCCAAATCTCACTCATTAGTTCTTTTTCTCGATTGTCATTTCAAGGCCAAGGTGGCAAAAAATTGTTCTTATGTGCCTGGAGAACATGCTCATGGGCACAATGAAGCCAAGAGAGACAAAAATGATTAGGCAGTGTGTGAAGTGGACTAATGTAATTGCAGTAGCAGAGACAGACACCGCTTTTGCCAAAGAAGGGGAAGTGGAAAGCAATTACTGAGGTCCTTGTTGAAGAGATGTTAGCACTTGGTGAGATAAGTTCAGTGATCTGCACAAAACAGTTATTTCACGTCGAAACGTGCTTGTATTACATGTAGATTATTTATTAACAGATCAACCTCTTGAGACCCTACTTCACTTCAAGAGCATAACGCAGAGACTATTGAAGAGCCTCATCATGAAAGAGAAAAATTCTATTCCTATTATAGTACGAGCACATTTCTCAATAAAACAATAGTTTACAAGTTAAAATCTTCTTAGCTCCCCTTTCATCTCCTCGGAAATATTCATCCTTTCCATAACAATAGGGTTTCCAACAACCTCACATGCATTTTTCTCCCTAGCATTTCATCGAGTCTCTCTTATACTTCTTGTTCAGAATATTGAATTTATCCTTACATTGTTGAGGTGACACAATAAAACCTCTTTCAACCATGGGGTTGAAAATAGCTCTCTTTTACCTAAGGAATAAACAAAAAATTTCTTTCACTGTTACTAGTAATAGATAATGCATCTTCCTCAACATGAGAAATAGTAGTGATCAAAAGCTCAACTATTTCATCAGTCCATTTACCCGTTACCACACAGGTTCCCTTTTCTCCGTGCCTATTTCATTCTGCATATTAAGAGCGCCTAGAATATTCCCATTGACTCTTTTCTGAAAAATTGTTCAGCCTCTGGAAAGATCTGTATATTTGTATTGAAATCTTTTCAGAATATTTGCCACACGGTTTGTCGAGTGTTATGATTATGCTATGAATCAAATGGTTCATATCTTGAGTCCTTCAGTTAGAAAAGCAGAAATTACAAGTTCAATCTGAGATGTTGAAGTTGGAATAGCAGCAAGCCAGATGGATTGGGTTAGCAAGGAGACAGGGTACTAAATATGGAGAAATTAAAGCTTGAGAATGGGTGCTTGGCTTTAGAATCGAAAGGCAGGAAATGGGTGACTTCTATGCAACTGAATTTAGCATGTACGGGCTTGTTTTATCATCTTTCTTACTGGTACACACTACTCAACTTTGTCTATTTATTTTCAGTTCCAATTCTTGCTTCCTTTAAGCTGCGTTTGCATCATTATGAATGAAAGTTGGTGCATTATCAGATAGATGTCACTGCATACATAGATAAAAACCTGTGATGTCCTCTGATGATTAGATAATCTAGAAGTCGTGCTTTTTTTTTTTTTTGTCCTTTCATTTTTCTCTTGCTATTATGTAGATGTTGCTTAATACCATTATGCTTGAATTGCCAATAATCTCATGGATGCTTAAATATGTGCATATAATTTTCTTTTGCATTAACAGGGGATAATATGTAGTTGGCTTTATATTCCAGACAAATTCATAGATTTCAGTTCATTTTAGGAAACAATATTAAGACATTGGACACTGCAAATCTATTTGCCATTGTTTCCTCGTACATTTGTTTCCTTTGCATGAGTGTTTGTTTATTTTATGATGAACTTTTGAAGACATATTAGCAAACTTTTTGCATGCACGTGCACCTGAATTTATGCATCATTTCATATATTGATTTAATGTATTCGATTTGATGAATGTGAAGATGCTGCTGCTAGCATAATGTGGAACTTGACATTATGTAGTTCTTTGCTCATCAAATTACAATGACTCTCTGCTTGTGGAAGGGTGTGTTTTAAGTTGAATTTGTTTATAGCCGTTATGAACTACAATAAGAGTTTTTTTGAACACCACTACACTAAGAGTTGATCGTCCATAAAATATCTGCCTTTCCCTTCCACCTTTTTTCATGAATGAGATTATCAAACGTCTAAGTTTTGACACACAATATAGTCGATACTTTATTTGATTTATTTTTGCAGCTGCATGGATACGGCCAATGGTCAGATCCTAAACGTAGCACATGTGTTTGTTGCTTTTCTTTTTATTCTTCTTCTTGTTGTCTTGATGCTTACCATATGAATTTGTTTCTTTCTTGCTATAAAACTTAGGAAACCCTGTAGTTTTTTATGGTTTTCCATGTAGTTCACAAGTAGTTTCCAGCAAATGAAGATTAAATTTTAAAACTTCATTTTCACTTGTAAAGAAATCTCGATTTTCATAAATCATTTGTAGCATAAAACGTATTTCTTTTTCTCACGTGAAACAAATATAGCTTACAAGTTACAACAGCATTTGTTTCTGATTTTGTAATTCAGTGATGAATCTGAGTTACTTGAATTTTCCTTGCATCATCATTAAATCCGTGAACTCAGATTAACTATCTTGTTGAGATTAAAGATGGTCAAAATGAAATTCAAAATTGAGAAGCTATTGCTACAATTTGTTTTATGCTCTATTTGACAAAATTTATAAATTATTTATAAATGGTCAAACTTCATTTTCAAACGACACATTAAAATGGACTTACACATACTATCCACTAATCCCCCACTCATTTCTACCTATTCATAAAATTACACCGTTTGTAGATTCTTCTCAAACGGAAGCTTTTAGTCATTCAGATAATTTTGCAACTTTCTCTCACAAACTTGAATTTACTTGACCAGAAAATTTCACATTATAAAGGATGAGTTGGGGTATGTTTAGCTTGTAGTTACACAGATTCTAGTTTCAGGATGAAGAGAAATTTGCTTAATTGTCTCTACTCATCGTATAGCTAATAAAAATATTTCTCTTTAATGTTGAATGTGTTTCGACTACAAGTATTATCGACCTCTCAAAATTGTTAACAAAATTTTGTAACATTCCCTAAAAGGAAATAAATATGTTAGAATAGAAAAGTACAGGATTGATGCTTATATAACTCACTGATACAAAAGCTTGTTCGAGCACCTGCATTTTCGAAAATGTACGTGTTTATTTGTAGTAAGGGAAAGAAAATTTCGTAATGTCCAAAGTTTAAATCTGTCCTTGTAGGCCTGTACACTGTCTTCTGAAAGAAATAAGTTCCATTACTTGGTCATACTGAGATGAAGATTAAGATGGATTCCACTACCAAGTAAAGCTTAAAAATTATTAGAAAGCAAATTATTGAAGCTTACGAAGGTCAGAGTGCTTGAAGCCATAAAAGAAAAGGCCTTGAAATAATGAAAACCATCTTGGTGTTGAAGGGTGAAAATTTTCAATACTAAAATTGATGAAGCCTGTGCATATTCTGACTACTTATATGAACCCTCACACGATAAGTTATTGATTTTTCGACATTAAACACGTTGAAACAATGAATGGCCAGGTTATTACGTAAAATCTTAAAAACCATTATAATTTTATGCCAATTAAATATGAGTATCCCCAGTACTTCAAATTAAATGTTGACAGTTGTTACTTGAAAATAACGGAGTCCCAATCCCGAAACAAATCAACGTCATCCATTTGGTGGCTTTGCTATTGGTTGGTGTTGAAAGATAGGCATTTGTTTTCTCTCCAATGGTTCAGTCCCCTTAGTCCTGTGGCGATACTAACAATGTGGTCTCTAAATTACTCCTGATACTTACTGACATTTCTTCTCTTTTCCTTAGAGAAAAATTACATTTGATGTTGCAGCAATAAAAAAGAAGATTAGCATTTGATTTGAAATCTGGAATTCTGTGTGTGTATTATTTCTTCGGTAACATGCGTTTCCTTTAAATCTCTCATCTGATTGTACATTATTTTCCTTATAATCTATCCGATATTTCTCAGTTGTGCTTCACAATCTACCCTATACTTGGTATAATGACATCGACGTGCACTACTTAGATTCATTTGACAGCCAAAGAAAGGGTGATTAAAAACTTATTGTAAGATTTGGTTCTTTGATTTAGTTCTTTCGATCCCTAGTTTCTCTTTTCGTCAATATTAGCAATTTTGTTATCTAAAGTACCATTGATACTTCTTTCTTTCCCATATAAGAAAATTACATTGATGTTCCAGAGATTTAAAAAGATTTGCTTTTGATTTGAAATCTGGAATTCTGTGAGTGTATATTTCTTCGATAATCTGCGTTTCCTTTTAAGTCTCATATCATCATTTTACATAATTTTCATGATAAAATATCCCTTGTTTCTCTGTTGTGCTTCGCGATCTATGCTTTGATAATGTACATCAATATGCACTAATTACAGAGATCTATTAGAAAACATGGAAATTTAAAATGTAATTGTTAGATTTGGTGGTTTGCTTTAGTTTGTTCAATCTCTTTAGTCCCATTTGGCGATATTATCAATGCAGTTATCTAAACTACTATTGGTAATTACTTTCATTTCTTTCCTTTCCCATATGAGAAAATTGCATTTGATGTTACAGCAATACAATTAAGATTTGCTTTTGATTTGAAATTTGGAATTCTGTGGGTTTATTATTTTCTGTAATCCCTGTTTTCTTTAAATCTCATATCATCGTTGTACATAATTTGCATGATAAAGTCCCCCCTGTTTCTCTGTTCTACTTCACAAGCTATGCTTTACTTGGTATAATGTACATCAATTTGCGATACTTAAACAGATTTATTTGACGAACAAGGAAAGGGTGATAAAAATTATAGTTAGATTTGGTTCTTTGCTTTATTTTAGTAGCTTCTTTTGTTAAGTTGTGGATACTTCTAATTGTTTCTTCCTGTATTGAGCTAGTTCATATAAATTTCCTTTTATGTATTTTGACATGAAGTAATATGGTTAATTTATGATTTCTAGGGAGAATTTTTCGAGGCTTTAGGTAGCTATTGCAATAAAAATGGAAGCTAACTTATCACTTTTTGGTGATATGGTGCAAGTCAATCACCAACAAGCTCCTTATCCATGGCAAGTTCCGGATGCTTTCTCTTTTCAGGTTGGCAGCATGCTAAAATTTGATCAACCTATGCCATTGCTTGAAGGAAACATAGATGTGAGGTTGAACAATTTTCAGGGTAGCAGCCGATGGACGAATATTCTTGGCATAGAGAAAAGGGAACCTGTGTGGCAGCGGCTAAAATGGACAGATGAAATGGTTAAGCTTTTGATCACTGCTGTTTCTTATGTCGATGAAGATGCATTATCTACTGCTAATATCAATGATAGAAGGAAACAGTTTATTCCTCTGGTAAAAGGTAAGTGGAGGGCTATTTCAAATTCCATGGTTGAAAGAGGTTATATTGTGTCACCTCAACAATGTGAAGATAAATTCAATGTTCTGAACAAGAAGTACAAGAGACTTAATGAAATGCTTGGAAGAAATAATGCGTGTGAGGTTGTTGCAAACCCTGTTGTTATGGAAAGGATGAACATATCTGATGAAATGAAAGAAAAGGCTAAGAAGATTTTAACTTGTAAGCAATTATTTTATCGAGAAATGTACTCGTATCATTATAGGAATAGAATTTTTCTCCTTCATGATGAGGCTCTTCAAAATTCATTGCGTTTTGCTCTTAAAGTCATGTACGAGTCTAAAGATGTGATTCAGGCGGCTGCAAAGAGGCAGAAACTGCAAAAAGATCATGCTGTTGTTGACATTGATGGTCCTAAAAACTATGTAGATTGCACGGGATCAGATCCTCAATCACCTAAGGACCTTTTCAATGAAAATTTTGTTCTCACCAAGGGTGTGGAGGGAGAACAGGAAGAGGATCAGAGACTTTTCTCTTGCTCACTGCAGTTGAAAAAGAAGATGCTGCAAATACAGGGAGAGATGCTTGAACTGGAGAAGAAGAAGTTCAATTGGCTGAAGTTGAGCCAGGAGGCAGACAGGGAGTTGATCAAAATGAAGCAAGAAAATGAGTTGATGAGGCTTGACAACAAGCGCATGGCATTTGAACTTACATGCCTGGAAATGGATGCTGATCGCAAATAATGAAGTGTGTTCTGGCATTATGCCAGGTGCATGCTGCAGAACTTGAATTCTCTTTTTTTTCTTCAGTCCTTTTTTTCAGCAATTTCATGAACAATTACTAATAACATCTCCGGTTCTTTAGTTTGATTGAACTTCGATTGCATCAAAAAAGGATAATGTTTAGGATTGGGTTTTTGCTATGGTTCATAGATCTTATGTTTACTGTTGTGCATCTGGCCAAATGAATGGAGCATATTTTCTTGATGATCTGGATTGCCCTCTTAATGTCAAGGACCATGTCTGAAGGGGTGTCACGACGGCATTTATCGCAACTTTTCAAAACCATGGGCGATAACATAATGGGATCAATTAATTAGTGTCCCTTTATCTCAGTTCAAATCTACTTTTCATTTTTTGGTCAAACTGTTGGTGTTCAAATCCTGCACTGCTCAACTTTTATAGTCCAATATATAAGAATTTTGCTTCATCTTGCTATTTAATACCGTCTAGTGCTATATGAGTTACCTTTTCAAATATGCATCAAAATTCTAAGACACTCCACTGAAGCATCATATAGTTCAATTTTACTTCATGGCCTCATTTTTATTGGCAGATAATCCAATAACAGAATTTCCATGTAACAAATTGATCTATGGGTTGTAGTTATTAAATTGATGGTTCATTGCTCTCGCTTTTGTATACATGCTTGAAGGAAGAAATATTTGTTTGAATTGTTTACTTTCTGCATTATAACTCTTTTGGTTTGACTGGCACTGGATGGAGTTTTTAGTCCATGACATTTATCATCCACATAATCTTGTAGTTCTCTTGTAGATACAAGATAGATAAGAGTACACTATCCAGCCATGGCTTTTGCTCCTTCCCGCCCTGGAGCACCATATCATGTTGGGAATAAGGGGGAAATACTGGATATAACCGCTCACTTGATTTGATTTTTGGAACAGCTTATTGATTTTCTTGATTTGTATCCGTTCTACAGTGTTTAGTACTTCAAAGTTTCTTTAAAATGTATATCAACTGTCCACAAGTAATTGTGTTGTGTTCAATTCTCTTTTGCTTAGTCTAGAATTCACCACTAGTTTTGATTGAGTTCTTGCATAGGTTGGTAAGAAACTTAGATAATTTCATACTTGTGGTGGTGATATTTTTCCATTTTTGTGTGTTCACTTTTTTATTTTTCCTTCTTTTGTGCAGGAGTTTTTCATTTCTTCTCTAGTTACTAGGTCTTGCTACATGTACATCAAGAATTATGCGATGTCATATGGCACTCTAATAATTGTCAGTTTAAAACACGGACAAGTTTTTCATCTAATATTTTCTCTCCAAATTATATTACGTAATCTATTATGTATATTTTTTTATATAAAGATAGTGAAATCCAAATGTAAAGTGGGTTGGACAGTTGAATTATATATGTTTACAATGCATGTGAGTTATGGTTCAACTAGGATAAAATATTTTCACCTTTTCAAAGTTTTCTAGTTTTTTTCTTTTACGATGTTTACTTCGAAAGCTAATTAACTTTTATAAATAAAAATATTGAAATATTTAAGTGCCTCTTTTAAGTATTTTCCATAATATAAGAATAAATTTCTTTTATTGTTCTGTGTGAGCCCCGCCATAATTTCCATGATAGAAAATGTTTAACTAAGACAAGAATATGCTGTTAAAACTTATTCCTTCGCCAATATGTTTATGTAATTTGTTTCTTTTTCTTTTAAATTTAAAAAATATATATTTAATCTAATAATTTTATGTTATCTTTAAAATGTACAACTTTACTAATAAAAAATATATTTGTAACTTATTTATTTGTGAGTAAACAGTAGGAATGTAAATGAGGCGAACCTAAGGTTGCGGTTCGGGTGAAAAAGGGGTTGGGCTTTACTGGCCCGAGCTAAATCAAGCTCGGCTCAAGCCTTATCGGGCAGGACCTTTTTCTTTTTCTTTATTTATTATTATTTTTTTGTAAGTCATGAAATTCAATTTTTTTAAACAATATAATTATGTGCAATCTTGAAATCCAATCATTTGTTATAATATTAGACACATTAAATTACTCGTTTGAACTTTTTAAACTTCCGACTATATCAAGTCCCTTGTTTGGTATATATAAAAATTAAATTTTTAGTAAATTTAATATAATGTGATGAAATGTATGAATGAAAAATTAAAAAATCTATAAAATATATGATTGAAATTATATGTTGATTTTTACTAAATTTTATTAAAACTCTAATTTTTATTATCATCACATAATATATGATTAAAGTGAAGGCAGTTGAGTTAATTATTCCAATGGTCATTGAATTTTGGTCCATGTCTTTGATTGATTACTGAAATTTAAAATGTCGAGTTTTGATCACTGAACTTAAGTCCATGTCTTCGATTGCTCAATAAAATTTAAAATGTCGAGTTTTGGCCACTGAATTTTGAAAAATGTTGTACATTACTCACTGAACTCTAAAAAATACTGTATATTATTCACTGTAAATTCGATATTTTTCAAAATTCAATGGTTATGTTAGTGAGTAACATACGACATAATTGAACTTTGAGTAATGTTCAATATTTTTCAACGTTCAATAGCCAAAACTCAACATTTTAAATTTCAGTGAGTAATCGAAGACATGGTCGTAAATTCAGTGAGCAATCGAAGATGTGGACATAAGTTCAGTGATCAAAACTCGACATTTTAAATTTCAATGATCAATCAAAGACACGAACCTAAATTCAGTGACCATTGGAACAATTAACTCGAAGGGAGTTTTATAGCTGCCTTTTCTTTTTTCTTTATTTTTTTTTCAGTTAGTTGTAGTTACCTGCATTTTAAAACACGGGCCACTTTAGATTTGAGCCAACATCCAAAAATGAAACTAGGCTTCGAGCTGAGCCGGCTCAGACTTTTCCAAGCCCAAGCCACAGTCAGAGAGCCTAATACAATGTATTACTCAATATTAGCCAAATATGTTGTTAATCCTTTCTAGAAAAAAAAACATTAATTTTTAAACTCAATCATTAGTTCGATGTTTGAAAATCCCCAAACCTCTCATTTATAGTTTTCAATTACGACCAACTTATAACACAAGAATCTCACAAATTGTCTGAGCAATAAATGTAGAATTAAACTAGTTGAACACCGATTGTTTACAACTAGTTTGACATTGTTTGATATGGCAAAATCGAGATTACTGATTATTTAAGTGTTATTAAAATCAATGGTAAAACTATATATCACATTATGGAATGTAAACAAAGCTGTTAGTGTAGCAATAAACCATAATTATAGCTGGAATAGTTCAGCGCTGGTCCTAGCATGTGCCGTTGGCTTGGATCCTATGAAATTGGACGAGGATAAGCCACTTAATTTTTTGTTCATATTTCTAGCTGTATGTTGTCTATATCTTTATGAATATGATATGGGACCTTTTTATGAACTAATTTTTCTGCTACAAATTAAATTGTTAGCTTATTTTTGTTTTTCTTTCTAACAAGAACAATGATCCAATTTTCAATTACAAATCTCCCAATCCACCAAACTGGGCACTGGCAGATTTAGTAACAAAATATGTTCAATATCCATTTGTCTCTCGTTCAAGTTGGCTCATCCAACTCCAAAAAGTCCAAAGGAAGAATGTTGCGACTTAGGGATGGCAATGGGTTTGAATGATCCTCCTCGTTTCATTTCCGCTTGAATTTTTGAGAGACATGGCAATGGTTAAAATATCTTCATTTTTCAGTCACGTGTTCCCATTTATTTATCTTTTAATAATAATAATAATAATGATAATGCTACATGTACATAATTTTTTTATCTAATCATTTACATACCACTTACAATAGGAGATGAGAATCACATTTAGGAATTTTATATTCACGCGGGGCCTACGTACGTTGTGAGAGAGGAGACAACTTTCGATACCCTCAATTCGGTACAAATAGAATTATTCTAATAACAATAAATGAGTTGGGATGAAGACCATATTTTCCGTTTCCATCTCAATTTTCCAACAGGACCACAATGTTGGGCCGGGCATGAGAGCAGGACCAGGACATTTTGCCAGCCTTAATGAACTATCATTTGCGGCCCCTTCACTTAGCCGTTGTTAGCCCAAAAACTAGCGTTACCACCAACAAGCCAGTCCATTCTATTCACAATAGGATATTTTCCAGGCCCAGCAACAGATGATCCACACGAAGCCCCATCCTTAAGCCCAATTGCATCCATTTTTTGACTCTGACTTAAATGGTCTAGTCAAAAAATTCGCTCCAACTTGGGTTAAACTATTTCTATAAATAGCAGAGCAGAATTTCACAGTTGTCCTTCAAAAATTCAGATCAAGATTGTACAATTGTGGAAAAATGGAGAAGAAGATGCTGATAGTAGTTTTATCGACGCTTCTGGTCATATTTTCAGCAAACATGGAGGGCGTTGAATCCCAAGGCGTCAGCTGCTACGATTCCTGTTCAACGGGCTGCGTTAATCCTGACTGTAAGCTCTCTTTTTTTTTTTGGGTGGGCGTAGGGGGTGGTTGTTGTTTTTCGTTTGTTAAAGATTTTTTAACGGGAAATTGAAGTAATTTTTATTTTTTTGGCTGCTTTTACTCTATAATTTAGTGAGGCTAATGAAGCGATGCGACCGCAAGTGCCAGATAAGGTGCAGTCCAGGTATTTTCCCAGATTAAGTCGAGTTTTCTTTTTCTGCTTTAGAATCATTATGTGCTGTGCTTTCTGCTAATATAGGTACTCTTTGATATCAGTATATTTGGTTGGGGGATGACTGGGGCTTTTTCATAAACTAGTCACCATGGAATGCGCAGTTGCACGTTATTATGAAAACCTTTATAAATGCTGTAAAATTAATATTTGAATATGCATAAATGTTAATTTATTTAAAATTAATAAGAGGGAATATATATGCGACAATGAATTTTAAAAGTAAAACAATTGTTTGTACTGGAATTAAGATACGTTATCCAAGCATCGGGCTTAATCCGTATAATTGTTAAATTGGATTTTAATTAGCATAGATGGATGTGAATAATGAAATAAATTCTTGAATGTAAAATTCTAATTAACTTATAATTAGAATCAATAACACTGAAATGTATAAACGAAAATGAATATTAATTAAATAAATGTGAATGTTAATTAATTGAGAATTAATAATAAAGAATTCATATATTAATAAAAGCACACAGATGAAATGAATATGTCGAATGTACATGTATTTAACTTATTTA